TCGAAAACATGCAAACGTGAGTAGATCAATGCTTCCGGCGGGAAGGTAATGGCTCTCCATGCAGGGAAAACTGCATACCAAAACACAGATATACAATATAGTAAACAATCTGAATTATATAAATAACATATAACTACTAGTATAGGAGGCTTGAAGAAAGTTGCTATTTCTAACAGGCATTTGTAGGTCCTTCCGTGATCAACTTCCAATGTCAGAGTTACGCCGGACGACACAAAAATTCCCAGAGAGGTATTCTCTCAGGTTTAAAAAAATATTTTTTCATTGTTTTCCATTTTATTTTATTTTATTTTATTTTTGCAGGTAGCCTATGCCTCTATTCCTAAAAAATTAGAGGGCTTACATTTTGCATGATAAGTTTAGCTAAACTGGCTTTTGAGAAGTCTTTCAAGGATAAAAGATTTAAGAAGTCCTTAGCTGGATCAATTAAATTATGCTAAAATGCAGTCATGCCAGCCACATGACCTTGGAGGTGTCTACGGACAACTCCGGCTCTTCGGCTTAGAAATGGAGATGAGTACCAACCCCCAGAGTCGGACATGACTGGACTTAATGTCAGGGAACACCCTTTACCTTTACCTATCTTTTGGAAACTAATTCCACAAATCTGTGATTGACAACATATTGTTGTCTCTCTCCACTACCTTAAAGTTAAAAGACAACACGGCAACAACCTGCCTGTATGTTGCTTTCCCCAATGTAATGAGCTTGATTATCATTGTCCATTGCCCAAGTGTTTGTTATTGCTGAATGGATACCCATTCTGGAGGACAGAGGGTGCCTTTCCAACCCAAAAGGAGAAGATAAGGGGTTTTTTTTTCTGCCATGGGCAACTTTCCCTCCAGGGGAACATGTCAGGGATGTGGATGCCAGCCCAGGGAAGGCTCAGAGGCAATGTGGTTAGAGTCACTTCAATCTCTTTTCTGTTTCTCCCTCATCCTGACAGAGGATGGGAGGTATTTCTGACAGAGATCTGGACTGATCACTACAAAAGGAATTTGGAGGTAAAAAATGTGGGTGGCTGGAGCAATAAACAGATCCTGCAGCAACAGAATATTAGGGACTAAACTGGATTCTATACTGTCAATAATGAAGTGTGAATTGCATTATATGGTCAGTGTAGAATCATAATGTGCATTACATGGTTTCACACTGACTATATAATGCAATTCAAACTTCGTGATTTAGCAGTGTAGAACTAAGCTGAGTGGCTTTTCTATCTTTCCAAGATGCATTGAGAAACTTGGCCACAGTAGTCTATTGGAGTTACGTCCTGAATAGATTACTGCAACATGCTCTATATGGGGTTGCCTTTGAAGACTGTTCAGAAGCTCCAATTGGTCCAATGGGCAGCAGCCAGACCACTCACTGGAGTGGGGTATAGGGAGCACACAATCCCCTTGTTACGTCAGCTCCACTGGCTGCCAATCTGCTCACAAGCACAATTCAAAGTGCTGGCTTTAGCCTAGAGAGCTTTCCTGTCCAAACTCCCTCTATGAACGATCTCAGAGGTTAAGATCTTCTGAGGAGGCCCTGCTCTTGGTCCCACCCCTGCAGGTGCGACTGGTGGGGATGAGAGACAGGGCCTTCTCAGTGGTGGCTCCTTGACTATGGAACTCCCTCCCCAACAAAATTAGATCAGAGATCTCCCTCCTAGCCTTAAGGAAAAAAGTAAAAATTTGGCTATGGGACCAAGCCTTTGAGCAATAAGCAATACAAGGAATGATCAGGGATTATATGCAATTGATATTTGATATTTGGAATGGCCTTGGGCCATGATTTTTGGCTTATGTGATTTTAACGTTTATATTAATATGCTTTTAACTCCACGTTTTAAAGTCTAAATGTTGTTACATTTTTATGATCTAATCAATAGTTACGTTATTGTTGTTTTATGGGCAACGCAATTGACGGGATATGTTGACAAGCTGGAACGTGTGCAGAGGAGAGTGACTAAAAAAACAAGCCTGGAGAACAAGCCCTATGAGGAGCGGCTTAAATTGCTGGGCATGTTTAGTCTTCAGAAGAGAAGGCTGAGAGGAGACATGATGGCCATGTATAAATATGTGAGGGGGAGTCATAGGGAGGAGGGAGCAAGCTTGTTTTCTGCTTCCCTGGAGACTAGGACATGGAACAATGGCTTCAAACTACAAGAAAGGAGATTCCACATGAACATTAGGAAGAACTTCCTGACTGTGAGAGCTGTTCAGCAGTGGAACTCTCTGCCCTGGAGTGTGGTGGAGGCTCCTTCTTCGGAGGCTTTTAAACAGAGGCTGGATGGCTATCTGTCGGGGGTGCTTTGAATGCGATTTTCCTGCTTCTTGGCAGGGGGTTGGACTGGATGGCCCATGAGGTCTCTTCCAACCCTATGATTTTATGATTCTATGTTAGGTTTCATATGTATGTGAGGCATTAAATTCTGCCATAAATGTGTTGGAAACCGTTTTGAGTCCATCCCTCAAGCGGTATACAAGTGAAGTAAATAAATAAACCTTGGCCAATTCAGCTAGGAAACAAGGCAACTGCCCAATGCCAGGCAAGATTCTTTGTCCTGCTACTGCTAGTCAGAGTGGCATGAGAGCAGAAGTCTTCCCTGGATATCTAACTCTATTATTAAAGAGGAGCTGCAAAGTCTGAACCTGGGACCTTGTACATATGCTCTTCTACTGAGATATTATTTCTTCCCAGAAAAGTAATTCCTGCATATCATGCCCTTCAGATGAAATGTTCCCTTCTGCCCAAAACTGGCTTGCCAGAACAAGAACCTAGCTGGCAGAGAGGTCATTGCTGCTCAGACTTGTTTGTGGCTATGCACCTTCAAGTCTAATGTATGGTGACTATCTCACTTGTCCAAAGTCATCCCATGGGTTTCCACAGATGAGCAGGGATTTCGGTTAGTCCAGCACTTAAGACTACTTCATGTTGGCATGTAGGATGTAGGAAAACCACTGAGTATAAAAGGTGCTACTGGATTCCTTTAAACACCCCATCCCCACACTGTCCATTACACAGTTATCACAAATATCATAATGTATTGCCTGGGATCAATCACTATACATGTGCAGGTATTTATTTATTTATCATATCAAGAGCAAACCAAACAGTTGTATTGTATTTTTAAAAACCCCAAAAAACCCACAAAGTTTGCAAACTTGGCATTCTATTAAATGTCCTTAGACCAGTATCTGGCCACTTGGAGTGCCTCTGGTGTTGCTGCAAGAAGGTCCTCCATTGTGTGTGGCAGGGCTCAGGTTGCATTGCAGCAGGTGGTCAGTGGTTTGCTCTTCTCCACACTCGCATGTCGTGGATTCCACTTTGTAGCCCCATTTCTTAAGGTTGGCTCTGCATCTCGTGGTGTCAGAGCACAGTCTGTTCAGCGCCTTCCAAGTCGCCCAGTTTTCTGTGTGCCCAGGGGGGAGTCTCTCATTTGGTATCAGCCATTGGTTGAGGTTCTGGGTTTGAGCCTGCCACTTTTGGACTCTCGCTTTCTGAGGTGTTCCAGCGAGTGTCTCTGTAGATCTTAGAAAACTATTTCTTGATTTAAGTCGTTGACGTGCTGGCTGATACCCAAACGGGATGAGCTGGAGATGTCTCTGCCTTGGTCCTTTCACTATTGGCTGCTAGTGCAATTTCGCCAGTGGTGTAGGGCGCAGACACCCTGTGATAATGCGGCATGTCTCATTAAGAGCCACATCCACTGTTTTAGCGTGGTGAAATGTGTTCCACACTGGGCATGCATACTCAGCAGCAGAGTAGCATAGCACAAGGGCAGATGTCTTCACTGTGTCTGGTTGTGATCCCCAGGTTGTGCCAGTCAGCTTTCGTATGATATTGTTTCTAGCGCCCACTTTTTGCTTGATATTCAGGCAGTGCTTCTTGTAGGTCAGAGCACGGTCCAGAGTGACTCCCAGGTATTTTGGTGTGTTGCAATGCTCCAGTGGGATTCCTTCGAACTGCAATGTTGGCACAAGCTGGGGCTAACAACAGGAGCTCACCCCACTCCCTGGATTTGAACCAGTGGCCTTTTGGATTCGAAGTTCGGCACTTCAGCGGTTTATCCGACTATGCCACTGGGAACTCCCTCCACACAGATATATAACCTCTAGACCAGGGGTCCTCAAACCTTTTAAACAGAGGGCCAGGTCACAGTCCCTCAAACTGTTGGAGGGCTGGATTATAATTTGGAAAAAAAAGAAAGAATGAATTCCTATGCACACTGTACATATCTTATTTGTAGTGCAAAAAACACTTAATTTCAATACAATAATTAAAATGAAAAATAATTTTAGCAAATATAAATTTATTAGTATTTCAATGGGAAGTGTGGGCCTGCTTTTGCCTGATGACATAGGGTTGTTGTTGTTGTTGTTGTTGTTGTTGTGTGCATTCAAGTTTCAGACTTAGGTTGACCCTGAGCGAGGGCCAGGTAAATGACCTTGGAGGGCCGTATTTGGCCCTCAGGCCTTAGTTTGAGCACCCCTGCTCTAGACTATCACGGTAGACAGTTCACAATATCAGCTTTCAACTGGATTATCTGAGTCCACACTGCCAGATAATCCAGTTCAATGTGGATTTTATACAGCTGTGTGGAAGGGGCCTCAGGACCCTTCCACACAGAATATCATGGCAGATAATCCACAATATCAGATTTGAACCTGGTTATTTGAGGGCCCTTCCACACAGCACTATATCCTGGAATATCAAGGTAGAAAATACCACAGTATCTGCTTTGAGCTATGTTATCTGAGTCCACACTCAGATAATGTGGGGTTTTTTGCCATAATATTCTGGGATACAGGGCTGTGTGGAAGGGCCCTGAGTTCACACTGCCATATAATCCAGTTCAATGTGGATTTTATACAGCTGAGTAAAAGGAGCCTCAGCTAATAAGGCCGAAGAAGAAGAAAGGGAGGGGAAAGAGAAGGAAGCCCTCTTCCCACTCTGCCAGTGTTGTGTGCTACATACAGGAGGGAAGGCGGCTGGCTGTGGGCACTGGAGCCGAGTGGGCGGGAAATAGTCTCTCTCTCTCAAGCTCTTTCCTTCCAGAGGAGGAGAAGCCGAGAAGGGAGTCGCTGCTGCTGCCTCAGGCGGATTGCTTGGTCCCAGGGAAGGACTTTCTAGCCCCGCTCTTCCACACAGTCATATAACCCAGAATATCAAGGCAGAGAATCCACAATATATGCTTTGAACTGAGATATCTGAGCCCACGCTGCCATATCATCCAGTTCAATGTGGATTTTATACAGCTGTGTAGAAGGGGCCCCCATGGCCATGGCCTTGACCCCCACTTGCTGGACCCTCGCCTTTCTGCTCTCTCTTTGCACCACTGGCGCACAGGTAAGGCAGCAAGAAGGTTGTTGTTGTTGTTGTTGTTGTTGTTACTGTGTGTGTGTGCCATCCTCCTAGGAACTTCACAGGGTTTCCTTAGGCAAGGGATAATCAAGATGCTGCCAATTGCATTCTCTGTGGACTTGCTTGTTGTTTCTGTCTGTTTAATATTGGTCTGGGCATTAATATCTTTATTGATTATATAGCCATATAACCCAGAATATCATGGCAGATAGGTAAAGGTTTTCCCCAGACATTAAGTCCAGTCGCGTCCAACTCTGTGGGTTGGTGCTCATCTCAATTTCTAAGCCAAAGAGCCGGTGTTGTCCATAGACACCTCCAAGGGGTTTTTTTTTTTGTCGAGTCAGGAGAGACTTGAGAATCTGCAAGTCACTTCTGGTGTGAGAGAATTGGCCGTCTGCAAGGACGTTGCCCAAGGGACGCCCGGATGATTTGATGTTTTTATCATCCTTGTGGGAGGCTTCTCTCATGTCCCCGCATGAGGAGCTGGAGCTGGTAGAGGGAGCTCGTCCGCCTCTCCCCGGATTCGAACCTGCGACCTGTCGGTCTTCAGTCCTGCCGGCATGGGTTTAACCCTCTGTGCCACCAGGGGCTCTTAGGTAATGTGGTAATGTGGCTGGCATGACTGCATGGAGCATCGTTACCATCCCGCCAAAGCAGTACCTATTTATCTACTTGCATTTGCATTTTTTTGAACTGCTAAGTTGGCACAAGCTGGGGCTGACAGCAGAAGCTCACGCCGCTCCTTGGATTTGAACCTTCAACCTTTCTGTCAACAAGTTTAACAGCTCCTTGATTTAACCCACTGCGCCACAGGAGGCTCCAGTGCAAGGCAGATACGGTGGTACAATGGTTTAAACCAGGGGTCCTCAAACTTTTTAAATAGAGGACCAGGTTACAGTCCCTCAAACTGTTGGAGGGCTGGATTATAATTTGAAAAAAACATGGATGAATTCCTATGCACACTGCACATATCTTATTTGTAGTGCAAAAAACACTTAATACAATAATTAAAATGAAGAACAATTTTAACTAATATAAACTTATTAGTATTTCAATGGGAAGTGTGGGCCTGCCTTTAGCTGATGAGATAGAACTGTTGTTGTTGTTTTGTGCTTTCAAGTCATTTCAGACTTAGGTTGACCCTGAGCGAGGGCCGGGTAAATGACCTTGGAGGGCCGTATCCAGCCCCCCCGGGCCTTAGTTTGGCACAATGGGTTAAACCCTTGTGCCAGCAGGACTGAAGACCGACAGGTCAGAGGTTCGAATCCGAGGAGAGCACGGATGAGCTCCCTCTATCAGCTCTAGCTTCCCATGCGGGGACATGAAAGTAGCCTCCCACAAGGATGATAAAACATCAAAACATCTGGGCATCCCTGGCAACATCCTTGCAGATGGCCAATTCTCTCACACCAGAAGCGACTTGCAGTTTCTCAAGTTGCTCCTGACACGGAAAAAAGGCAGATAATCCACACTATCTGCTTTGAACTGGGTTATCTGAGACCACACTACCATATAATTCAGCTCAATGTGGATTTTATACAGCTGTGTGGAAGAGGCCTAAAATATAGTTTGCTATGCCTGGCGGTCTCCCATTCAAGGACTAAACCAGGTCAGCCCCGCTCTCTTACCCCATTCAGACATGTCTTTGGCCACTTTTAGGGGATTCAGGCACAGAGATCTATGAGAATTAGAACCTGCTTTTGGGTCTGTCCCTTTCAGTAGTTTGAGACCACTTTTAGCAAGGAATATTGAGCCCAGAAAAGGCAAAAGGGGCTTAAGACTTTGAGTTTTAAAAGCTATTTTAAGTGTATTATTATATTTTAATCTGTTTGACCACACAGAACAATTTTATTGCTTTTTAACTTTTGTATTGCACTTTTTAAACTTGACTAACACGTGGGATTGTTAGCCACCTTGAAACCCCACAGGGACCCCTTCTACAGTGCCATATAATCCAGAATATCAAATTATCCACATTATCTGCTTTGAACTGGATTATATGAGTCTACATCACCATATAATCCAGTTCAAGGCAGATAATCTGGATTTTATATGGCAGTGTAGCAGTCACACTCATTCGAGGGGAAGACAATGGCAATATTTTTCTAAATAAATGTTGTCAAGAAAGTCCTAGGATAGAGTTGAAGGTACATAAGACTCTGGCACAAGCCAAAAAAGTGGTCCAATAATAATGCACACTGGGTGCAGTGCCAAAGACCTTGGCCTGCACTTAAAAACAATTGGTGCCGACAAAATTGCCATCTGTCAGCTGCAAAAGGCCACTTTACTTGGATCTGCAGGCATTATTCGCCGATACATCACACAGTCCTAGATACTTAGGAAGTGTCCGACATGTGATCCAATACACAAGCTAGCATAGTGATCTTGTTTGCTGTGTGCTAATTTTGTTATGTATCAAATAATAATAATAATAAATGAGAGAGTTGAGGAAGCAGTAACAGCGAAACCGGGTGCATCCAGACCCCATCTACACTGCCATATAATCCAGTTTCTCATATCCAGATTATGTACTTCGAACTGGATTACACTATGCAACACGGTTTTGTTCCTGAATTATAAATGCCATTTTCTAATTGGTTCCATCATTAAAAGCAGATAAAAAGTTTATTAAACTGCAAAAACTTTGCTTTGGCAGGACATCCTGCAGCACATTTTGCTACAGTTTTTCAATGAGTATCCTCAACCAATTCAGCATAGTGGGTGGCAGCAACAAAAGCTAAGTTTCTGGAGTAGAACAACTACTTTCAAAGTAAACTCCGCACAACTAAACAGGAAATAACACTTTCAAACCAGGAACAGAAAGTTTTTCAAATTTTGTTACATAGTGTTATATGGCAGTGTGGATCAAGCCCCAGATGGAAGACTTTATGACTGTGGATAGAAGCACATCCCACTTCCCTCTGGGTGCACCAGTACTGTAGAATGCATGCAGTTTAACACCACTTGTAGCTGTCATGGCTCTATGCTATGGAATTGTGGAAGTTGTAGCTTTGCAAGATCTTCTTTGCTAAAGAAGGCTGGGGCCTCACCAAACGACAGCTCTCATGACTCCGTAACATGGAGTCATGGCAATTCATGTCAGACTGCACTAATGCTACTGCGTAGACACATCCTTGGTAGATGTGCCGAGGCACATGTTGTGGACATACTGTGCTTTGTCCCATTTGAAATCAGTGGGACTTAAATCATCCCCTTGTTGACTTCAGTGGGATCTGAATGCAGTTAATTCCAAGGCACTATTTATCTGCCAGAATGCATTTATTCTGCAGGTAGAGTGCATTCATTCTACTTGAATTTGAGACTAGTATTTACCTGAGAACTGGAGTGTTGCAGTAGTCTGAACACTGGGCTATGGGTGAATCTACCCTATAGAGTTAATGCACTTTGACTCCACTTTGACTGCCATGGAATCGTGCTATTTGTAGTTTTCAAGCCCTTTGACCTTCACTGCCAAGGAATGCTGGTGCTTCACCAAACTACAAATCCCCAAATGCCAACGCAAACTGCATTAATTCTGCAATGTACATGCATCCTCGGATTCTGGAGACCATAACACTCCCTGCCCCAGTGTAGGCAAAGGCAAACCTGCTCTGAACAAATCTTATCTAGGAAACCTTGTGAATAGGATCGCCATAAGATGGAAAGGCACACCAACAAGAGCCTGCAAGAAGGCATGCAAAGGAATGGCTTTTCCTTCCAGTTAATCAAAGGATTAGACTAGCAATAGGGTTTTAGGTGTGCCTGAGTTACATATTGAAATGCTGTCATCTCCCTTAGGGCTGTTTATGCCTGTTTCTTCCCTTTCTTTTGAATATCAACAGAATAACGATACATTAAGATGAATGAAATGAAAGTGAAATGTCATCCATAAACCCGCATTTATTCCAGCAAACTGAAAGCTTTCTGCAGAAATAGGATAGGACCTTGGGTAGGCTACACAAAGTGCCTAAGTGGTCCTCAATGTCCTAATTCAATTCTCTGTTTATTTCTTTGTTTATTTATACTGCTATACACCTAAAGAATTAAAGGTGGCATATCACAAAATCAATTTTGGGTTGTTCTTTGTGTGCCTTCAAATTGTTTCCACTTATGGTGATCCTAAGGCCAAGCTATCACAGGGTTTTCTTGGCCATATTTGTTCAGAGGATGTTTGCCTTTGCCTTCCATTGCAGCCGAGAGAGTGTGACTTGCCCAAGGTCAGCCACTGCTTTCCATGGCCAAATAGGGATTCAAACCCTGATCTCCAGTCATAGGCCCACACTCAAATCAGGAAATTTCTAATATTTGTTCCGTTTTTCTTTATATTCTGATATAGATTATTTCATTCCTTTAAAAACAGCTTATATATATGTTTTACTACTGCCCCCATGTCACATTGGGTGAAACCGCTGAGCTTGTTGACCAAAAGGTTGCAGGTTTGAATCCGGGGAGCGGCGTGAGCTTCCGCTGTCAGCCCCAGCTTCTGCCAACCTAGTAGTTTGAAAACATGCAAATGTGAGTAGATCAATAGGTACGCCCTCGGGAGGAAAGGTAACAGCACTCCATGCAGTCATGCCAGGCCACATGACCTTGGAGGTGTCTAGACAATCGCCGGCTCTTTGGCTTAGAAATGGATATGAGCACCAACCCCCAGAGTCGGACACAACTGGACTTAATGTTAGGGAACACCCTTTACCTTTACTACTGTTCTTGTATCTTTTAAATCTCTTCTGTTTATTAATGTTCTGTGAGCTGCCTTGAGTTCTCATGTTAGAGAAAGAAAGGATTGTTGTTATATTAATGTTGACATACTGCTTTGTCCTCAAAAACAGACTCAAAGCAGAGAACAGTGGTGAAAACAATACAATATACAATTTAAAACCTAAAGAGTATAGACATTAAAATAGAATTTAGTGCTATTTAATAGTCCTGTGCATTCTGGGGAAACTGCAATCTGTTTTGGTGTCCTGGATTTCGATGGGGCC